CGTTAGATTGACATCTAACGGTCTAACGCTGGTAGAGTCGATTGTTGACTAAGTTACTTTTTTGGAGAAACCTTGTGTACGCGTGAACTTAGTAGGCCCACAAGTCAGCCTCCAAATCTATGGCAGACAACATAGAGCCCATTTTCTACTTTTTGAATAATTTGCAGCCCATTTGCTAATTCTTAAGTAATTTATTACATCCCATTTTCTGCCAAGGACCACGGTCAAAAAGTTCATCCTTATTTTGCATATTTCGGTGGATTCTGAACTATTGTAATCCCAAAATGATAAACATTTTTAAGAACTTACTGATTTGCCAAAAATCGTTTTGTTTTTGTAAGAATATAAGAGGTGGGACAATTGAGTTGGTTTAAGGGAAAACCAGTGGTAAAAAGATCAGCGCTGGGAGGGAAAACAACAACAAAAATAAGGATATAAATATGAAAAGGGAACTTTATGTATTTTCAATATAACGATATGTGTATATGAACTAGTAAAACTATAGGTAGAGATTATAAAATGGAAGTAGGACATGGCGTTTCAAGAGGACAATAGAACTGGGTTGTGTGTTTGATTCAGTAAAAAAATTGCATGCGGATGTTGTAAGACAAAATATAACTAACGCTGGTGGGCCAGAGGCCAGTAGATACCTGCTGGATCTTTGTGTCCCATTGTCATCATGGGCTGGGCCTGTTAAAAACGAAACCAAGCTTGGGAAGTCTACAACCCAGTTGAAACTTGCTCGACCTGAAAAGACAATATACCTACTCAATAAACGAGAGAATTTTGCAAGTACAGATTAATAACTGGGATGCAGTAGGTATATTGTTTTTTCATCATGATAATAAGTGCAAGCACATGTGTCGAAAAATTTGGAGAACTGGGAATTCGAACGACATGTGCTTATGCTACCCATCAAATAAAAATCAGGTGCCTGAAAATTCGTTTCGAAACAAATGATTCAGCTTTATATCCATGTCGACCCTCGGCATGATGGTTGGAAGCAAATACCAAGTTCATACCGAAAAATCGTTAACAACAATACCAACTTGCGGACGACAAGGTAGTACAGGTACCAATACCAAACTAACTTATAATCTTTTTAGTCCTGGCGCTAGTGTTCGTCTGGTTTAAAATCTTGCAGAGGACCAGCTCCCGGGCCTTCCCTTGTTCCAGGTCCCCAAGGTAGTACTGGTGTATCACCCAGTTGGTCCTCTGCTGGCCGAAGTTCTTGTTGGTGTGTAGCACCAGAACCTTTTTGCTGCTCGTCTACCGGCCGTTGACCATCACCGGCAAGGTATTGCCAGTCTTGTGCCACATCGCGTGCATGCTGCACTCCGACTGTATCTTGCGACGCATCCACGTGCCCCTTTTGAACGGCCTGGAATTGCGCTGGAAGAAATGCTTGCTTAGGCCATTCAGTGTGATACCTGCAGTATTATCGAATACAGGTTTTAGTGTACGTAGTTGGCATTTTCACAACATCTTTGGCATGTTGCAGTCACTTGTTTCACTTTTTATTAACTTTCAAATTGTAATTGCTTCACTGGGTCTACGTCTAAAAGGAAAAATAGAGCTATAAACAAAGGAATATGTTTGTGCAAGTAGACGGCCGATCGGTGTCTTACCTGGAAGTTTCTCAGGATGGGTGTAGCATATGCTGTGCTCGCTGTCGATGGTTGGTATGAACAAATTGATGAGAGGATGAGATCTCGCGCTGTCAGCACTCACTTTGGCCTCAAGGTGCTCGATCAGCTCTTGATCCGTGGGCTTGAACTTGATGCCAGCCGGCAGCACGGGCCAATCCTTCTTGGACTTGCATCGGTTAATTACAGTTATATGGTACTCCCTCCGTCCAAAAATACTTGTCATCAAAATGGATAAAAAGAGATGTATCTAGAACTAAAATACGTCTAGATACATCCCCTTTTATTCATTTTGATGACAAGTATATCCGGACGAAGGGAGTACTCAATGTATGATCAATCGTCTATTTTAAGTGAATGATGAAACATTTTGACAGATAAGTGGTACTCCAAATATGAAGTCCACAATACCCGAACACGCCATCGGGATTCTTGTGTCGCCTCACGCGCAATGTGTTGTCACGTTAATTCAATGGGTGGACATGGTGAATAATTTCTCGGACGTATACTAGTACTGCTACTGTAGTACTTACTACTCATATTTAGTGCCACATTTTAACCATATGTCTAACTAACAAATATGCACTTGAAGCCTAATTGATATATATATATATATATATATATATATATATATATCTTTCCCTACTAATAAAGCAATTACTACTTCTAGTCGTACATCATCGACGCTTTGGCAAAAAGCCCCTCTGTTTTGTAGTATTCAACCCGCAGTCCTTTCTTTAGTGAGAAAACGTTTTGTTCAAACATTTTACAAATAAATCCTTATAGTTTACCGTATTCAACCCACGGTCCTTTCTAAATTGAAAAAAGCACGCCAGAAAACACACACGAGAACGGGCTCTCCTCTCCCTCGCCTCCCGATCCCAACTGCCAGGCGCTCGATCTGGTGCCGCGCCGACCATCCGGGCGCGGCATCGATGGATCTGGCGGCGGGTGCGGCGTCTTGCTCCGGTGGCGACGGTGTCCTGCTGATGCAAAGAGACCAGGGCGTGAGGGAGAGAGGAAGAAAGGAGGAGAAGGGGCACAAGGTGAGGGAGGCAGTCGCCGGCGGCGGCGGCTCCGATGACCAGCCGGAGGGAAGGGAGAGGAACTCCTATTGAGGCGGCGTGGCTTGGTGCACGCTGGTTTCTCCGGATCGACCCCCTACTCAGAGCTGCACGCCCCTGATGATTGGAGGTAGGGTAATCACTCTCCTCTTTAAAACTAGATCATTTTCTTCTTTGGTCTAGAAAACATAAATCCTTAGACACCCAATGGTATGTTTCAACATGTTTTTAGCCTTGATTTGATGTAAAAAGGATCTAATTTCTCTTCCCGCTTATGTTCTGGATTTCATCTTTTCTCCTTTCTCTGATTTACTCATACACGACTCCTGACTTGTTGCATGTGGCTGCTGAATCTTCCTACTGCAGGTGTGCCTTTCACATGTTCGTTGAGTTGCAGCAACAAGGACAGATGGCCATCTTCACAGGTTATGCCCCTTACTGTAATTTGCATTCAGTTATGTGCAGTAATAATGCCATATTTGTTAGCCTGCTAGCTGTTTCCAGATTTTTTTAGACACGATTGACTGCTTCTACACAAAAGGAGTTTGTCGAAAATAAGAGCAATCCCATTGTTGCTATAGAGCCTGAAGATTCTTTGCCTTTCTTTGAACTGCTTCGGTTTTTTCTTTCATATGGCTACAATTATTTGATTGGTCCATGTAGATTTAGGCAACATGAGATGAGCCGATGATATATATTGTAATATACGATGTCTATTGCTACAAGTGTTGATGTCTTGGTGATGGCAGGTTTTGCAAGTAATTCAAATGCTTTTTGAGTAGAGGATAATTAGAGATATAATGTTCTACCTAATCTTGAGGTATGTGAAAGTGAACTCGGTGATTTTGAGTAATTCTAAGAGTATATATCTCATCTATCAGGTATCCTTTTTTGAGTAATGCTGAGAGGATACATCTCATCTATGAGGAATTAATCCATCTTGTTTTCTCTGTGTTTACCTTGTTCTACAAATGGCTAACTAGGTAATGATTATTGATAGCTAATGACATGAGGGAGAGGGGGACAAGCCCCTTTAGCTACTGCAATGCGGTTGTGCATACAAATGTGCTACTCATATTCCACTGTTAGACGAGCTAGGCGCGAGAAGCAGGTTTAGAAGTCAGTTCCATTTGATTTACATTTAGATCATCTTGCTACAACACCATCACTTTTCTTGATAGAAAACAACAATTTTTAGTAATCATATATAGCTTTTCTTTGGTTTGTTTATTCTATTATACCATAGATATCATGAGAAACTGTTAATCGCTTAAGGAGGGTGTTCTGTTCACTCAAAATCAACTGCCTAATGGTCTGATTAGTTTATGTATGTGAACATTTATTTTAATAATTATAGTTGCAATTTCCAGTCAAGGCATATGTTCTTTTATACTTTTATAGTGAGTCTACAATAGGTTGAATAGATTCGATTTCTATTTCCTTTCCTCGTCATCGCCCGCTTAGGTTATAAGGGGAGCCAGAGAGGTGAGGGAGGTGACCAAAGCGGCAGCGGCCTTGGGGTGCCGAAGAAGAGTGCGTAGGAGGATGGAAAGGGGCTCGTATACGACGGCTGGAAGAGGTAACCTAGGATTTCGTGGTGCTCTACTCTATACCTCATGCTCGGATGATTGTACTTTTCGTTTTGATTGATCAATTGGGTTTAATTTTGTATGAGTTGGGTAGCAGCTTGAGCTCAAAAGGTTCTCTACTCTATCCAAATATTCTGCTAGATTTGATTAGAATTTGTGTTTATTAAAACATGCACCAAGAGGATCTAGGCCAAACAATGAAAAATTATGCAGCTGCACCTAAACATCTTAATACCACAAGATGGTCACTATGGAACTACATAGCTTCGGCTCGTCACTGGTTACCATAATTTGTAATGTGGCGATTGATGGATGTGCGTAGATAGATTATATACCTACATGGTACTTTCTGGGTATGTGCATAGAGGAATCCCTCATGTATTTAGATTATTTGCTTAACTATTACTCTTCTCTATTTTCCGACTTTGTGATAACTTAATATAAATTACATTTTGTTTTGAAATGAAAAGATATGTGATGGTAATTGTGTTGTGTTCTATCAACAGAACTATGCTCTCCTAAACCTGAATGGGCCAGAAGTGACAAGACAGACAGATCTGGCAGTCAATTATTCTTCAGTTTCGGTTGTGATGTTTCAACATGAGTTCAGAGCGTTAATGCTTTGCTGATGCGAGGAGGTGAAGTTGTATGCTACCAGAGTGCAGATATTTCTTGGTATCTTTACTTTCAAGAAAAGATGGATGTGTGTTGTGACTGTGACAGATGGTTCTACTGGATATGTTGTTGGGTTTATAACAAGAAGCATTGGTAAGGATATCAAAATACAAGAGAATGTTGCAACGACCAAGGTGCCATATATATATATCGAAGGTGCTCGCAAACTTCCTTCGACTGGTGTGGCCCTGTTGCTTTCTTATTATAATGATAGTAGAGTTCAAAAGTTCTAGATGGCAGTGGTATATCAGTATCTTATTTCACTTTCATCACTTCTATAAAAGCTAGATAAAATGATCTATATCACTAGAATCTATTGCCTTGCACATACTCCCTCTATCCGGAATTATTTGTTGTAGAAATGGATGTATCTAGACATATTTTTAGTTCTAGATACATCCATTTCTGTGACAAGTAATTCGGGATGGAGGGAGTATTTGTCTACACAAACACGTGTATTCCTTTTTACATTGAATTTCCTTTTTGTTACAGGAGGATTCAGAATATGAAGTTACTGGAAACATTGTTGGAAGTGTTGGTCCTGAGAGCACAGAAAAGGATTCATCGTTTCTTATAAAAACATTACAATCATTCAAAGAAGCTTTGATTAAGGAGGATCACACAAATGTTGCTGAGATTGAGGCCTTCTTACTTTGCATTGATGTCGATGATGAGAAGAACTCTCTTATGAGGAAAATCATTGCTTTGAATTATTGATAACCGTGAGAGATCGTGTCTTGAGAGCAGGTGCAGAATCTGAATTCTACAGATTGAGAGCAGGTGCAGATTCTGAATTCTGCACACAGAAGACAGAACAGAGAGCTGGTGGCAAATGTGCAAGGGGAAGTTATGGAGAGCCTTCTTTGCTAGCTGAATAAGTCTATCAGGAGTCAAGGCCTGTTTTGTTGGAGGCTTGATGTAACTTGCCTGGCCTGATAAGTAACTGTGCGCGCGGTCGTCCTGGGTGCTTGGCTTGAGCTAGCATGCCGTGTTGTTATCTTGGTTGAGGCAGCTGGAGTTAGCAAGGTGATTAGTCAAGGGTGGCTGTCGATGCCATCTAAAAAATAGGTCTTAAAACTTCATATTTTCTCAGGAAAAATGCATATGAATTAATGAATATCAGGCTACATTCAGGCGATATTGTTTGTCAGGCACAACGCTCAGGGTAGCAACCACATATTTAAGTGAGCTTTTGTTGAAATGCGTTGGTACTTTAGTTTTTAGATTCTATGATGATGGTATGCATAAATACATGAGCTCTTTCAACTAGTACCACATAGTATTAATGAGGTAACGGAAGCTTGCAATTCCATTATCCTGCATCTGCCCAAGTCTAGAAGGTCAGATAAGTTGTTCCGCAAGATAGACAACAATTTTTTATGAGTCATCACAGTGGGCCGAGAACTTGTTGATGAAGCCAATGATTGGGTTGATCATAGTGATACGGCATCAGACGTAATGCTAGATTTAACCCCAGACAAATGGGCAAACATGAAAAGAGGAAAGATGTCAATGCATGAGCCAGAGGGTTCCAGTGGTGAATATTTTGGACCAGAAGTTATGGATGTTTCATGCGAAGAAGCCATTCTTTCCAATGTTTACATATAAGATATACCAGTACATCCCAATTGGTAGGGCCCCTCCACTGATAAGCTGGATATCCTTTTAACAAGTGGCTCGGAGAGAATAAAGCGTTAGATTTTATCATACTTTTACAGTTTAACATGTCAAAGAAGGGAGAGGAGACACCAGCGGATGGCAAGATGGATGAACTGTTGGACAGTGTTAGCCTTAATTACCTAATTCCTAATGAAGTGGAAAACTTTATGACCAGCATAGAAAATGTGCAACACTCTTCTTCTGAGCATGAAGGGCAGAATGATGATTTCGAAGCAAATATCATTGAGCAAGATGATGAACACATTGGAAAGATTTTACTAATCTTATTGTTGCATGCAAAGACATTGGTGATGTCATATCAGAAGACCCATAGAAGGTTTAGGTTTCTGAGGGCAAGCAGAAATAAGTGATAGCTATGCCGGTATTCTAAATAATGGCAACACATATTATGTAAACACAGTTCTGCAGTATTTTCATTGTTTATCGGAGCTCAAAGAAATCTTAATAATTTGTGAAGACGTATGAGTGCTCGGGGTTGATGTTCTATGGTTGATTTCGGGATGTGTAAGAGCAGGGCGAATACCACTATATCATACTCTCTTGACTGGGGGTTGATGTTCTATGGTTGATTTCGGGATGTGTAAGAGCAGGGCGAATACCACTATATCATACTCTCTTGACTGGGATGAGCTTCGCCTTTTTGTAGAAAAGTGATAGAATAAGACTTGTGATTTCTGCTGCTATTATGATATGCTGTTCTGATATTCTTTGCTGCCACTCTTTGTTGTATCAATTATTTGTTGTGTGAACCATGTGGCGGGTCGAGCTCAGATGATTCGGATAGGATAGAATGGGCGTCGGAAATCGCCCGTGACATTCTAGGTGAATTCTAGCCGTTGCTAGCAAGGCCTTTGGTAATTTCTATATAAAATTTTTTTCCCGTTGCAACGCACGGGCATTTTTC